GGGCTTGCTCAGGGCAGAAGGTCTCTGGGGGCTGAGGACCTGCCCTGGTGTGATTCGGGGCCAAACCCTGGATCTGGCCCCTGCCCGGCTGCAGCCCTCTCACAGGCTCAGTTGCTGGCCCCAGCCCCGGAGAGCTGGCCGTGCTGTGCTTGCCCCGAGGTGCGTCCACAACCAGAGGTGTGAGGGGTCTCCTTGCTGCCTCCATTGGCCCATTCTGCCCCCCTCCACAGAGGCTTTGGACCCCGTATCATCCCCCTCCCCATGGCCCCTCGTGCTTGGCTGCCTGTCCCAGCTCGGGGGCTCTCCTTCTACATCCCTCCAGCATGCCCAGCCCTCCACTTTCTCCTCTGTCCCTTCACCCTCCATGGAAACCAGGCTTAGCTTAATGCGCCATGTTTTCACGCTCTTAGCCCCAGCTCACGGTCTTCCATCTCACTCCAGCCCACAATGACCCTTTTGCCTACCTCGGCACTGGGGGACATGTCCCTCTGATGGGTTTGCCAGCAGATCGCTCCCCTCAGCCAGCTAGAATTACCAGGTATCTGGGAGGTTGTTTTCCAGCAACTGATCTCTATGCCATGGCCTGTCTGGAGTACGATGCAGTAAACCAGAGCTGTGGGACCTGGCAAGATGGTCCATAAATAGGATCTGCTCTTTCTTGAAGTTCTGGTCTCTTCTTGCTTCATAGCCCTGCATCTCCTGTTGCTCCTCTGAAGCAAGGCACTATGCTGAGGTCAGTATCGTAACCCACCACCATGGGCAGGCCCAGGACAGATGTGCTTTTGTCACTCTTCGTCTCTCCATCAGGAGGGCAGGAAAACAGATGCAAGGGCAGAACCATGACTTTTGGAGATGTTCTCTTGGTTTCCAGCTCTTGGGGAAGAAAGGTTTGGCAATGCTGTGGTAGGGAATGACAGCGTGAACATGTTGGCTGCATGTTCAAGGAGCCAAACTCAGTGTGACTGTATGACCCCACTGTATTAACTCCGGGGAGGGGCCGCCTGGGATGATCGATCGTTTTAAAAATGTGAAAGCCCTTAAGAACACTTGTGTCTCTCTCTTTCTCTTTCTTCTGTCTTTGCTTCTAGAAAGGGAACGGCAGGACGGCACCTTGGCACTTAGGGGCTGCTGCCAAAAAACATCCTCCACCAAGGCAGCAGGGACCCTCCAGCTGGAAGAAGCTTTCGGGGCAGCCGGGGGAATTGAGGAATCCGTGCCATCATGGGGGTATTATGGCTGGCCAGGTTCATGCTGGGATGTACAGCAGTTATGTATGTGGAACAAGCCCAGGGTCAATATGAAGGGGACTTGCAGACAGACAGATTTGCAGGCTACGAGGAAAGACAGCCAGCAAACAGAGTGAGAAGAAGAGGCCAAGACACTTTACGAGGGTACGTTTAATGTTCTTTTCTATTTTACAAAGCAGAACTTGATTTATTATCATAGCGCGTAGAGACATGCTTGCAGAATTGCCTTTTCTGTCCTTTCCTTGAGCTCAGGAAGGAGTCTGCTCTGCAGACCTATGGTGGGGGGAAAGCTCATGCCACAGGGGACAACCGAGCAGACTCCCATGCGAGCAGAGAGCTGTGCGCTGAGCTCTGCTGCTTTGTTCAGTGGATCGCAGCACCTTAGGGCTCACCTGCCAGAACTGTGAAGAGCCATCCGCACCCTGCCGGTTTGTGGGAGGGATGCTGGGCATTTACCCGGAGGGGTGGCTGTGGTTGGGCTTTCCACCATCACTAGCGGGGATGGTGTCAACTCAGGTTTTGACCCTAGAGTCGCCTTCAGCTCTCTGCTACCTGTCAATGCTCTGGGCTGTATTGAGAGGTTCTTGCCTCTGACGGCTGCTTTTACATGATGATTGGTGCTAAGGGGAAGTTGTCACACTAAGCCCCTTGTTGTGCAGCATAATTGTGGCTTGTGGTCTCATCTATAGACAAATCAGTGCGAGAGCTGGACCTGTGAGCGTTTTCCACCTGAGGAGGGAGACGGGGCTCAGCTAGAAAATCCTGAAGCTTGTGCTGAAGCTTGTGCTGGAGCTCAGCTGTATTTGCATGCTCTCAAGATGGTTCCTGGCCCCGGCATTGATTCTTGGTTATTTTAAGTCTGCCTGGCTGTAGTTCTTGGAAACTGTTCCTGTGTCAGTGGGCAGAATCAGAGCAGAACGTGATACACGCGCGAAGCCTGGGCTGTGCCAGAGTCCTCCGGCACTTGCTGGGGAATGCTTCTTGAATGGGACGGAGTGCCGTGCTTTCAGCCCAGACAGTCAAATGTGCCGTGTTTGGGCTGGAGCTGGAACACAGAGCCTGGCCGTTGAGCTGCCAGGGGCAGGGCCGTGGGGCTGGCCGCATCTGCTCTTGGAATTCAAACATGCGTGGCCACTCCCTCCCGCTCCAGCAGATTCGGAAAAGATGGACAGCAACTGTCCTGGGGGTTTGGTCTTCTCAAAACTAGCTACCAAAAGCAGCCATTAGCTCACTCACAGGGTAGGGACACCCTGTGCCTCCCCCAATATGATGCATAAGTACTTTTGCCATGCTCCTCTCTTTGAGTCCATCATCCCTCAGATAAAACACCCCAAATCTTTATGACTAACGGGGATGAAGGCCATTTCTTGAAAAGGATGGGATGACAGTCTACCAGATCCAGAGACTTTTGTTCCGCCTGGCTGCCCAGGGCTGTATGTGATTGATTACTGTGCTCATAACGGGGATAGAAAGGATTGGAAGGAGTTGACATGTGTATGGATGATCCTGTGTCACGCAGCCCTGTGAAGAGAAAGGAAGGGCAGAGCAAGGAAACGATGAGTATTTCCATCCCCCCCAGAACCTGAGAGAAAGTCACTGGTGTCCAGTGATCTTATGGCGCTCAGTGATTTAGGTGACCGGATCCTGTTTTCAAAAATGATTTACAGCTTAAATCCTTCTGACTTCTGGTGAGTCTGAAGGGTCTAAATCCCAAGTGCATTTTAAAAATGAAGCCCAGGTTCCCAAGTTAGAAACTACTTCTGAAAACCCTTCTCTAAAGCCTCAGGCATGGACCAACATTTAAGTAAAGTAATACCAAATTATTGGTTGTGTAAGTTCCTAAAGGCCACACAGAAAGGTTGAGGCAGGATCAGAATCAGGCCTGAAGCGTCTGGCTCCCAGTCCCCTGCAGGGAGCTGAGGACCACACTGCTACCTCCTTCATTTTTCTCTTCTGCTTTCCTCCTGCCCTCTGAAGCAATTGTTGCAGGAAAAGAAGAAATCCCACTGGGATAAGTGCAAGGTCTGTTTAAGGAAGTCTGTGCAACTATAATTTAAGACAACTGAAGAATCATTGTTTCTTGGCCCTTTGGAGAACAGTTTTGTTTCAAAGGAGGGACTCATGGTGGCAACACAGGGGAGGCTGGCAAAATTCAGAGTGGCTGGAGCTTCTGCCCCAGGCGCTTCCCATGCTCTGTGTCAAGTGACCCTGACAGTCTCCTAGGTTTTGTGTCCAAATCTCTCCTTCAGGATTTCTAGCCCTTCAGCAATCTCTCTCTTTTAAAAACTGTATTTGAGATGAGAAATCTGTTCAAGAGTGATGTTTTAAATAATGTTCTACTGGGCTTAGAAAGCAGCTACAGATGTCACCAGCTGCAATGTTGTAGATGGGTCTGGCAGCCAGTGAAAACCATCTCCTGCAGAGCCACAGACCCAGTAATTGTTGTTGTAGAGTCCCCAAACAGTGCTAGTCCCTCATCCTTTATGCTCTGCCTTGAAACAGTTCTGGAGAGTTGCAGTTGTGGATCAACATCTTCCCTGACCTGGGTTTTGCTGCCTTAAGGTACCAGGATTCTTTGCTGCTGTGAAATGTAACTGAGTTTGATACATTTCTTTGGGCAAATCAGATAAGTCATAATTTAAGGTTTGGTTTACTCACAGACTAGCACTGCAACAGCAAAAGAAGTGAATGAACAGTGTTTTTTCTTGGTGCAACTTTAAATGTGAAGGGAGGTAGGGCTGTCTTTTTAAATTTGGTGTTATTTTACAATGTGGGCATGCAGGTGGCTTATCTTGACTATTGTGATTTGTGGGACCATCTATAATGCCACACCTCTAAACACACATCTGAATCTCTAAACACATTTATCTGTGGTGTCTATTTTAACAGCTTATGACACCATTTCAAATATTTGCTTTGGCGTTTGCTTTCAAAGACCCACAACTTTCTTTTTCAGAGAGATACACTAATTTCAATTCAGCTTTCATCTGAAATATCTTTGGTTCTGAGACTTTCTTTGGTTCTGGGGCTTGCATGAACGGAATTTAAGTAGGACTGGAATTAAAATACAGCAAAGCTTAGCAGCATCACACGGGCCTGAAGTGGCAGCTTCCCTGGTGAGCCCTGGGCCACCACCCCCAGCCACCATCCTGAATACTCTGATTTCTGTGAGAATGTTCAAAAGTTTGTATATCGTTCCGAATGGAAGGAAGCGGACAAGCAGATTTTGCGGATTTGCTTGTTAGATCTAATGATGATGCAGTGCAGAGTCCTAACTTCTGCTGCTGCTTCTCCTTTGTGGAAACCTTCTGCTCAGGGCTTCTGGACTGTCTGTAGCCCTGCCTTATTTGTCCCTTGAAATAATTTGTTTTCCCAACACAAGTTAGTAAGTGTTCTCCTTTCATACACTATGCTTGAGACCTTCTATCCTGCCAGATCTCAAAGCCTTTTACAACATTAGCATGCCATTTGCAGATCATTTTGTCCATGGCAGAAATACTTTTGCTCCTGCAGTGGAATATGACAGACAGACATTAAAGGACTTAAAGGACAGCCACCTATCTTGACAAGCTAGATCTGGCTTTTGCTCTACCATTTATTCTTGTATATGCCTCCTTTTCTCTTGGGTGGATGGAACCACAGATTCCCTCCATCTCTAAATTGTGTTATATCACAACTCGGACAAGAAAATAGAATCGCACCAGAACTGCATAAAGAATTGTGACTCAGATGTCTTTATAGGGAAATTTTTACCAACTCTGGAAGAATCAAATACCCAAACATATTCAGTGCTCCTTCCTTCATTTTCTCTTAAATATCTTCTACTCCTGCACATAGCACACATAACTCCCTGTGGGTTTCTCAGGAAAGTCTTGAGTAAGCCCAGGTAGCACAGGACATCTGCTCTTTTGGTGGCAAGTTACTTTGTGTGAAGTCTTAGTCAATTAATACTAACAGAAATACACAGAATTATTTAATATCATAGAGCTCATAGTGAGAAACTGCTCTCTAGTAACTCCAACGCGACCAGCGCAAGCTCTCCTTGCTGACGCCTGGAGTGAGCTGGCTGTGCACGAGGACGGTTGTAGATGTCTTGTTGGTAAAAGAGGCTTCAGCAACGCAGGAGGAAAGATTGTGTATGTTTCTGCTGGAAACATATTTATTTGGAGCTCTGTTCCCATGCCAGTCTCCTTTTACGAAGGGAAAAGCATGAAATAAATGCAAAGCATGAAATAAATGCAAAATAAACAAGCCTGTTATTCACAAATGCTTTTACAAATAACAGTTAATAAAGTAATGTGGAGCAATAAATCACAGCCCAAGCCATGATTTAATCTGTCCTTAAACTCATTAAAGTAGAGACAATTTAAAATGACTGTCTCCTGAAAGGAACGGCACTGACAAATCCATTTATGAGGCAGGATTTGAATGGGATTATTAGTTTAATGAACTGTTGAACAGTTTCCAAGAGCAAGAATGTGTTTAACAAAGGGGAAAGAAAAGATGATTAGTCTGCAGCCAGCTGAGCTGTTTGCTGGCAGTATGATTTCCTGTAAGTTCATGGCTGCCTGTTTTTTCAAGCAAGAATAAAGGCTCAGCTATAGCCTGACTTTAAATACCACTAATTATGTCAAGCCCATTAATTATGAAATGGCCACTGCAATTGAGAAGATGGATGAAGAGGGGATGTTTGGGGAGGCATTTGTCCTACCTCTTCCATTGCTCTGACCTAAAAGACAGGGAGGTGTCTAAATTAATTGTGGGGAATGGGGAAGATGAGGAGTTTCTAAGCTGCTCTCCCCTAGATTTTTGACACCTTCTTAGTTTCCAGCTTGACACTGGGGAATGGAGAGGAAAGGCCCATTGCAACTGCGAAACACCAGCAGAGGAGCTGACCAGCTCCAGAGGATCATCCCAAACACCAGCGGGGATGTAGATGAACTCTCCATCCACCACCTGAAGCTTGGAAGCTCAGATGCAGTGGAGAGGGAAAGCCGTGGGCTGTGATTCTGGGCCACGTGGCACCAATTTAAACTGGAGCTGACACTGGGATGATGTTTAATGTCAAGGGGAGATTGGACACAGCAGAGATGAGCTTCACCACTTTCGTGGTTCGCTCTGAGGTGTGCGCAGAGAGCAGATGA